AGGCAACCCGATCAGATCAGCCTCGACCAGATCACAGCCGACCAGAGGCGAACCGAGACACGTCCTAATGCCCAGCAGCCATAGGCCAAGTGGCACGCTTGTTCGCACAGACTACACCTACCAACAGACCGAAGTGGCTTCCGACAACTTGCTGCTCTCTCCTCCCTCCCGAAACTTCTCAAACTGACTACACCGGAATGCTGCACTTCATACAGCGACCGCATGAACTGTTGCTGGTCATACGCGCGTGTGCTTTGTTGGATATGAGTTGGGGTGGATTGGGTTGGGGGGGTGACCTGACCAGACCTGACCGACTATGTGTGGGCATGTCGTTACGGCCGCACTCTTTTAACCTGAGCTTTTCCTGAGCTGATGCCTGTCGGTGTTTAGTTCACATCTTGTTGTCGGGGGAGGTGGCTTTGTGTTTGTGTAAGTAACTGCTCTGCATCCGAGAAACCTTGATTGTTTGGGTGCTCACAGTTTACATTTACTTTGCGTCATCGGTGCTGATACATTTTGCAAATTCACGCCTGCACAAAAATGCACTGCAACGGGGAAATGGCCATTTCTTTTCCAAGCTCCTGACCGTGTCACACAGGTCAGGATGGGAGACCCGCAAGTATACCAGACTTTTTCAGGTGCAATAACAGCTCTGGACGCAAGTTATCGGTTAGCCCACCACCCGTTTCACCAGCCGACGGATGGAAATGTACAGTTCTCGACAACGCCACCAACTAACGAGTAGCCACGTCGTGTTGTGGTGAGGGGAAACGCCAGCTGTGTGCTTCAAACAGAAAATTTGTCGGTGTGGAGGAGGCTGTTCTCCACATCATCGACTGGACTGTGTTGGAGGGGGGAAGGGAAGGGGATGCGGTGGTGGTGCTCAGTGGTGATGGGTGAAGGGGAATGTTGGTGGGTGATGGTGGTGTGGCGGGGGACTTCAGAGTAGGAGGTTTGAAGAGAAATTCAGGTGAGGTGACTGTTTAGTCCAAACTTCTGAATTTTAAAACAAGCCCAGCATTAGGACGTATGAGCAGGATATATTAGGGTTTGAGGAAGGAGTAAGCGTGTATATATTTTTTATTCCGACAATAATAGTGTCTGCTCTGCTACCAAATCCGATAGGGAATCACAACGCGACGGATGCTCGGTTGTTCACTAGTTAGCTTTTCATATTTCACGAACGCGAAGACTGCACTGCGAACTGCATACAAGAACAGGACACCTACATACCAGGTTCCACACACGGGATGAGGACGCTCTTAGGAGCAGGTCGAAAGTCCGTCGTCAGCATCGTCCTCCTGGTTATTTTTTTAGCTTGCGAAGCCACGGCTGCGAAGCCACCCAAGATCGCGCCGGGAAGAAGAGAGCTGAATGGCGCGAACAAGGCCATTCAGAAAGCTCGGAGATTCAACGTTTTTCTTATACATATGAAGAAAACAAGTAAGCATTCCTTGCTTGTTTCCCTACTTACGTCCATCCATCTTCCCTCTCCCGCTCCCCCTCCCTCCACCCCCCCCCTCCCCCCTCCTTCCCTCCTCTGTTTCTCCATCATGTTTTTCCGTCGCCATTTGCCCCCTCTCCCTTCCACTCGCTCTCCTTTCATCATCTCTCCCCCCCCCCCACACTCTCCTTCCCCCCAACACCCCACCACCACCACCCATGCTTCCCCTTCTCTCACCCCCGCTCTCCCTCCTCCCAGATTTGGATACGTTCATTGGCAGATACGCGGACCGGCAGCCACTAACCTTTCTGATGCCTCGGGACGAAGCGTTCTCTGCACTTCCAGCCAACATCCGCCAGCAGTTATCGGGAAAGAAGCTGGTGCAGGTGATACAGTACCATATGATCATGGAAAAGTGGGGGATCACGTTCCTTTCAGCTCCAAGAAATCAAAGGTTTTTGCGCGCCTTTCGCACCGTACTTGGAACGTACATTTTTGTACTTCCAAATGACGTGAACAGGGTCGTGAGGATAAGTTCCGTCAGGTATGCCACTGCGAATACAGCAAGTGTCATTTCTGGTGATATTGGTGGAATGAATACCTTCCTTAGGTTTGCGTGCCATGGGGTTGACAAAGTTATTATCCCTCCTGGGGTTTTCTAGTCGAGGGATGGATAGATTCGCCAGTTTTGCGTGGTAAATAGTAGTAATATTATTTTATGTTGCACAACCTGTTGACTGTAACATACAGTACTACCGGTAGTTAGAATTTGTACAACTCAATGGCAGTCATTGCTAATGATCTGGATTGTTGCAGTTTTTTTGTCTCCGTGGTCGCACTCAGTTCATTACTATGTATCTGGAAAACGCTGGTCATCTCTAGACTCAACAACTTGGTTGAACTCTTCTCTCCTTGCCAGTGGTGTCCCAACAGGGATTTCCTCACTTTTCACTTGGGAATCAGAGTGCATGCTGCCGTAGTTGGCACGAGTTATCTTGCATTTTATGCGACAACGCACAACATACATGTACCATGTTGTAGTTCCTACACAGGATCATAGCTGTCTTGTCGCGAACCTCCGCATCCCCTTCGAACCAAAATTTAATCGCGTTGACTTGCGTTGAGCAATTCAAGGTCTCCTTCCCACGGATAAACTGTACCACCACCAACCAGAGACCAGGGGACAACGAGCCAGTCACCCCAATTTACATCGAGGGGGAAACACCAGCCGTGCGTGTCCAACAGAATTTATTGGTTTGCAGGGGATGACTTCGCACAAATCTACTGCCATGTTGGGAGGGAGAAAACTGAAGGGAAAGCATCCTAGCGGGGAGAGGTACCTGGACCCCTCCGCTAAAAGGGCAGGGTTAGCGCTTTCTGCGCATGGTTTTCGCTAAAGGCTGGGCTAGGGGGGTGTTGGAAATATATTTGTGTGTTATTTATCTTGCAGTGCACTGTTCGAAGTGCAGAAGCGAAGCCCTCAATATCGGGGGTGTTGACTCAAGTATCGAACTGCAGGGGTGCAACCGCGTACAGTGGTTGCGACCCGCGTGGCAGCCGAAGGGTCGAATTGAGCAAGAGGCAGCGTCTATAGTACGCGAAACCACCCTGTAGGCAAGGCAGAATACCGCGCCCTTGCCGAAGCTGAAAGGTCTTGCCAGTAACTGGGCAACTGAAACGTTACAGCGCAACTGTAATACAGTTGCGCCTTGGTAACTGCCTCCCTGCTATGTTTCCTATATAACTCAATGTACTGCCATGCTATCATTACACAATTCTCTAGCTTGTGTCCGGCCTACCCTCGGCCGCCGCTTTGGCACCAAGTTACAAGCCAGGAGAGCTACCTCTGAGTGACCATAGCCCCGCCGCTGGGACATCGTTATTTCCTAGAGTATTTCCGCTACTCTAGCGACTTCTTATTTCCAACATGGTATCACGAGCAAGCGTTCAAACACTTGGACCTGTGGGAGCAGCTTCATTCAGTTTGGCTCACCACCTTTATCATCACCAGGAGCATCTCCTGGAGCAGGTCAGAACCTGCCACTACCCACGGAGAATTTCGTGGACGAAATCTTCAACGCGCCGTCGCATAATTTTGGGCGACTTGGCAAGACGCATTTCAAGGCGTACCGGTGAAGTCCCTGACGAGGACTTCAGAATTTCAACATGGAGAATTTCATCTCTCTTGGATTCTACACTTCTAACAGTGGAGGGGAGTGTTGGAAATATATTTGTGTGTTATTTATCTTGCAGTGCACTGTTCGAAGTGCAGAAGCGAAGCCCTCAATATCGGGGGTGTTGACTCAAGTATCGAACTGCAGGGGTGCAACCGCGTACAGTGGTTGCGACCCGCGTGGCAGCCGAAGGGTCGAATTGAGCAAGAGGCAGCGTCTATAGTACGCGAAACCACCCTGTAGGCAAGGCAGAATACCGCGCCCTTGCCGAAGCTGAAAGGTCTCGCCAGTAACTGGGCAACTGAAACGTTACAGCGCAACTGTAATACAGTTGCGCCTTGGTAACTGCCTCCCTGCTATGTTTCCTATATAACTCAATGTACTGCCATGCTATCATTACACAATTCTCTAGCTTGTGTCCGGCCTACCCTCGGCCGCCGCTTTGGCACCAAGTTACAAGCCAGGAGAGCTACCTCTGAGTGACCATAGCCCCGCCGCTGGGACGTCGTTATTTCCTAGAGTATTTCCGCTACTCTAGCGACTTCTTATTTCCAACAGGGGGGAGGGTTATCGTTCAGGTTAGGGAGTCGAGCCCTCAATGAGCCACGTGTTTCATCCTACGCTTGCTCGCTCACTGTACATCCCAACCACAGATTCCGCACTGCGCGCGCTTGTCTTTTCTACCGAACCTATCCCACGTTCCGGGTGGCACGACGGGTCACTGTTCCCAAACCACTGTGGCCCTACCTTTCGCGCCAATACTTGTTACAGCTTCACTGAAAACGCACAGAAACTCCGTCAAAGGACTTTCACGTCAAGGTTTGGCACACAGGAAAAGTGAAACAAAATACAGGTAAATCCGTTACGAGAGGTTGAATTGATTGCGCATAGAATGAAAGTAGGGATAAAAAATAAGAATGTGTAGGTCAGGTTTTCATATGCAAAACCTTGATTTGTGTTATTAAACCCTTGTCGGGTTTAGTATTGGATCAGTGACTATGTTGTATATATACATGACATCTAGTATAGAAATAAATATATATATGTTAATATGGTAGATTTTTTTTAATGCTAAACGATTTACAGCTTTTCAGGTCTATGATAAAATACATACAACTCCCTATCTTCGTGAGGTCAAATCGGCTATTACCTGTCCAACACGCTTACAATATAGTAAATGAAGGCATGATAGAAACAAACATCGTTTCAAATAACGTACGGAAGTTGCTGTGGCACCTCGTAATAGCACAGGCCTTTCCTTGCACAGTTCTCCTTGCTCGCATATTTGGAACATCATATCTCCTTACTTAATGCTGCGAATGACACCAAAGGTTGGTATTTCGGGTTTAGGCTACAGCAATTATCAAATTATTAACGAGTCATTACGCATGCAAATACGAGGCCTCCATCTCTTTAATGTTGGGAAAGTCAACCTTTCCAGACTGTAATAGAGTGTACTTAAATAAAGTAGCCTACCAATTCTATACGTAGTGTACGCAACGAACTGCTCTACCCCACCTGCTTCTACTGCCCTGTATGTTTCGGCTGCAATTGCTGCACCAAATTCAATAGCTGCTGCCATTGTCGCTGCAGATGCTGTTGCTGATCTGGTGGTAGCTGTTGTTGATGATAGTACATTTGGTTTTGTTGCAATGCCTGCAACAGTTGCAACAGGTGCAGTCCTTGACCCTGGAGCAGCTCATGCTGTCCCTGATGCTGTGGTTGCAACTCGCGCTGCTGCTGCTGTTGTTCCCGCCGCCGCTGCCGCCCCTGCCGCTGCTGCTCGTGCCCCATAAGCCCATGCTGCCCCTGCTGCCCCTGCTGCTGCTGCTGCTGCCCCTCTTGCTGTTGTTGCTGCTGCCCCTGCTGCCCCTCTTGTTGCTGCTGACCCCTCCGCTGCTGCTGCTGCTGTCCATGCCTAGGGTCCCACTGCTGCTCCTGCTCCCGCCGTCTCAAGCGTCTCTGCTGCAACTGAAAGCTTCTCCACTGGCGCCGTTGCTTCTGCCCCAACCGCAAGTGTTGCAGTTCCTCCTCCATTTCCACACATTGGTCATCAGCAACTGGCTCATCCACAACAACTGACTCTTGTGTATCAGGTACCGGGGCCTGTACAACCTGCCTGGCCCCTCCCCTTGGCTCCACACTCCCTGTTTCCTCTCTCTCCTCCCCGCTTGCTTCAGCATCCACTGTTGCTGGCCGTTGATCCCCACGACCTGACTCGGATGCCACCTGTCTCTGCTGACGCAGGTGCTGCATTCGCCGCAACCGAAAACGAATGACGTTATCACCATTGTTATGATCTCCTACACCTCCACCCACCCCTCCAATCTCTGTGGCTCCTCCTCTCAGCCCCACTCCACCGCTCACTGCTGGTCCTCTCTCACCCCCCACCCCTCCACTCTCTGTGGCTCCTCCTCTCAGCCCCACTCCACCGCTCACTGCTGGTCCTCTCTCACCCCCCACCCCTCCACTCTCTGTGGCTCCTCCTCTCAGCCCCACTCCACCGCTCACTGCTGGTCCTCTCTCACCCCCCACCCCTCCACTCTCTGTGGCTCCTCCTCTCAGCCCCACTCCACCGCTCACTGCTGGTCCTCTCTCACCCCCCACCCCTCCACTCTCTGTGGCTCCTCCTCTCAGCCCCACTCCACCGCTCACTGCTGGTCCTCTCTCACCCCCCACCCCTCCCCTTGGTCCCACTCCTACACTCACTGTTGGCTGTCTCTCAGCCGTCTCCACTCCACTCCTGTCTGCTCCTTGCCTCGCCCGGAATCCACGCCTCTCCGCTTGTCCTCTTCCTCTCCCTGCCCTTCCCCTTGTTTCTGCTGGTCCACCCCTCCATCCGCCTCTCCCAATCTCTGCTACTCCTCCCCTCCCTCCGACTCCTGCGTTTTCACCTGCTCCACCCCACCCTCCTACTCCCCCACTCTCTGCTGCTCCTCCTCTCCCTGCCACTCCTCCCCTCCCTGCATGTCCTCCCCTCCCTGCATGTCCTCCCCTCCCTGTATGCCCTCCCCTCCCCGTATGTCCTCCCCTCCCTGTTCCTCTTCCCATTCCAGTCGTTTCCCCTCTCTCAGCCACTCCTCTAACATCAGCCATTCCTCCTTCATCTCGCACTACTCCCCTCCCTCCTGCTCTTGCATCTCCTCCCATTCCCCCATTCTCACCTCCTCCTCCCATCCCTCCGCCTCCCCCATTCTCACCTCCTCCTCCCATCCCTCCGCCTCCCCCATTCTCACCTGCACCTCCCATCTCTCCGCATCCCCCATTCTCACCTCCTCCTCCCATCCCTCCAAATACTTCACGCAGAACGGTGTGCACACGACCCTGGACAGCACCTTGAGCACCAGCTTGAGCACCTTTGACCACTGGTTGTTCCTCCAAATCATCCTCTGAATCCGAACCGCTGCCCCACTCCTCATCCAATAATTCAGCATCTCCATCCTCACCAACACCCTCTTGTGGTGTGCTACTGTCCATTGCCCCATCTGCCTGTCTGCTCTCGCGTTCCCTCTGTTGCCTAAGAGCCTCGCACAGTACTCCTCGGTGGTGACTTCTGTTGCATGCAGAACATAGTGCCACACTCACTTGAGCCTCCGCTCGTGTTGCTGTTTGAACACTCATGTGCCCTGCTGGAGTGTGAAGTGCCTCCCATGCATCTCTTAGCTGTTTACGCAAATCACACGTCTTTCTATTGTGCCCCTTCTCCCCACACTTCCCACACTTACGCAGTTTTCTACCATCGATCTCACCGTGGGACCTCAACCGGGTAGTGCGAGGCCTTCCCGATTTTTTGGGATAGGCTGGCGGGAGAGTGGTGCGATCTGGAATTACCATTGTTCGGTCTAGAGGTTCAACCTCCGTGCTGTAGAGTTCCTTCAGGGCGGCTGAAGTGTAGCATCCATGCACCATGGGTTGCACCAGTTGTTGTAGAGCCGCCAACTCATTCCCTCTAGCAGGCCGGGTGAGATGAAGGAGTACTGCAAAGATGTGCACGCATGGGAGTCCGTACTCACTGCAGAAGGACAAGAACAATACAACAAAGGAGAACGGGAAACAACACACATCAGGACATGACCATTAAGCAAGGATTGCATGGGTGCAAGGCTGCTTTGGTGAAAATCTTACGATTGTGATGTGACACACACGACGCATCTTGTGGGAACACAACAAACAGTGCAGATACTCAATCACGACTACATAAGATTCACCTTAACCATTACTCACCTAATGTATTTACACGTGCACACCGTCTTCTCAGGGTGCGCCTCATCCATCTTCACCACACGCTCCTCCGTAGCCCCTATCCTGCGGCTCACATGATACGAACCCCGCCCAATACGCTCCACTTTGTACTGTGTCCACGTCTGGCAGTTAGCTCGGATGATGGCTGCTGTTTTGGGGGGGAAATCAGCAACCCCCAAACTTCCATACAGCGCACGCCCCTCTTCCATTGCCGTCGCTTGCTGCTTTATGAATGAAAGCAGCACTTGCGCGGGATTGTCCCTTCTAACCTTGCGCATAGAGGCATGGTGCGATTCCACCGGATTCGAAGTGTAGTTGCCATAGCGCGCTGCACCGAATGAGAAGGTAGCCCACTTCGAGGCCAATCCATCCCTCTCCAAATATTCTTTTCCCCCAGCGCATTCTGCCTCTATCTTCTCCATGAAGTCCCGATACACATCTCTGGTCAAAGCTGCTGCTGCTAGCTCGATCTTGCCATCCAAATCCGACCCAAATTTTGAATTAAAGTTTCTCACCAAGTGAGTGACACAAAAGGCCTCACGTATCCCAGGCAACACTCTTGTGGCAGCAGCCTTCAACGCTTTGCCACGATCATGCATCAGGGTGAACTTTGGGGTGTCCAGCTCAGGGGCAGCACGCTTCAATAGCCCCAAGAAGTACTCACATGCCTCTGCGTTCTCAGCTTCTACCCATGCGCTCCCTAGCCTCACTAGCTTATGTTCACAGTCAATCATACACGCGTTAATGGTATGCCCACGCCACATTCCCTTGTTGTGAAAAGCATCAACAAAGATGATAGGAAAGCAGTTTTTGACAATTTCCCGAATTCCAGGATACACCACTGCGGCCCGATGAAACATCCTACCATTTAACTGCAGGGACACGACGCTTGTTGGATTTTTGGACATAAAGACTTCCAAAATGCCGCCAATGTACTGGAACCCGTTATCTCCTGCTAACGGGTCCCCTTTTACCACGACATCATTGATTGACCGTGCAGTCGTAGAATTGCTGCAGTCCTTGCCTAACTTCTCTCGCACCAGGTCTCGCAATCCCCCGGGTGTAACGACGGTGTGAGGATGTACTTCACGCACCAACCTGTTAACTTCCTCTCTCCTAATCCGACCAGGTTGTGGCACACACATGTGTGCGTGCTGCAGGTTCACAGATTTGACGCTGAGGCTGCAATCCCGAGGCCCGGTGACTAAAATCCTAAATGGGCAAAACCACTCTGGTGCGTTTGCCTCATCTTTGGGCCAGTCCCGATCTTTCATCGACGGACAACGGGCTTCTAAGCGGTCTGCCTTGTTGTGGAAAAGGTAAGGCTTGAAATTGTTCTGGTCGCCATAATCTACTATTGCATCCCTAGCGTCGCTCACGGAGGGGTAGACCTTTCCCGTGTGGATGTCGATGTCCTCTCTGCGTTGTCCCACAAATGCACTGTTCATAAACATCGCACAAACAGTAGTGGTAAAAATTATCAAAATTGGAAACGCATTCCCTGAATGTGCACATATAGATGACCTATCATTCAGATTGCATGCGTGACACCGTAAAATCACCTTGCAAGTGAGCTTATGAACATTTTGCATGCGTTTTCTCTTAATAATTGATGCGTGCAAACTTCTTATGGCCTGAAAACCACAGAGGGAAGACACGTATGGTGGACAAGGTGTCAGCGTTACAGATTGAACAACCAAATAGAGTCAACCTACGAGTAGGCGAGGTTCTATTCAAGAGAAGAAGATGAGAGGGTGGTAGATTGCAAGAGTTACAAGACAGGGTGGTTCGAAGAAGCTGAGATTGGGGCAGTGAACTAAAAGGCAAGCAAGGAGGTTGACTTTGAACTTGTGTATGTGAGTAGCGATGCTATGCTCGATGAGTGAAGCTAAAAAGTGAGTGAAACTAGCATTGGAACATACTGTATCAAGGCAGGTGGTAGCGTTCTGAGAAGAGAGTTGTTCATCCGCCTGCGGGAAAAGCATAAAGAACGAGTGAGGGGTTTGAAGGGGACGGATTAGAGGTACGAACGTTAAGAATCTAACGAATGAGCAAACGAAATGGAACGGATTAAGAAGAGGTCGAATCAATCTCAATAATAAGAATATCGTTTGTTGTAAGGGCAAGTCTGATGCATGAGGAAACGTCGATAGCGTGGTTGAAGGGTCTGAGCGACCATAGCATAGCGAAGCTCAATTACATAATGGAGGATTGGGCTGGGGGGACCGTCATGACTTCACGCCTGGGTACGCTTTACGAAATGTAATTTTGCAGACTCCGGAACATAGACATTTCGTCTATATGCAAATTGCATTGACAGTCCTAACTCTCTTTTTTAAGATAAACTAGGGAAGCCAATGGCAGTAACGTAGTTAGCAAACTAGTGCAAACCTAATTTGTTAACTATCGAAGTGGCGTGGTTGAGTTTCAGACGGAGGGAGTTTCGAGTCTGACAATCACAACCTGCAGCTGGGTTGATTCCTAGCTGGGTGCAACCTTAACGGAGTTTCTGTGCGCTTTCAGTGAAGCTGTAACAAGTATTGGCGCGAAAGGTAGGGCCACAGTGGTTTGGGAACAGTGACCCGTCGTGCCACCCGGAACGTGGGATGGGTTCGGTAGAAAAGACAAGCGCGCGCAGTGCGGAATCTGTGGTTGGGATGTACAGTGAGCGAGCAAGCGTAGGATGAAACACGTGGCTCATTGAGGGCTCGACTCCCTAACCTGAACGATAACCCTCCCCCCCTAGCCCAGCCTTTTGCGAAAACCATGCGCAGAAAGCGCTAACCCTGCCCTTTTAGCGGAGGAGTCCAGGTACCTCTCCCCGCTAGGATGCTTTCCCAAAACTGAAGGGGGGGTCGCGGTGGTGGTGGTGGTGGTGGTTGGTGATGGGCGTTTGTGGTGGGTGATGAAGGGTGGTGACGGGTGATAGTGGGTGATGGTGTGTTGTGGGCTTGGGGATAACCAAGCAGGCGAGGTGGGGTCATGGGAATGGCGGATACAAAACAAGCCGACGAAACAGCCTCACCTTTCCTGCTGTTCCGAGGTGAGGTCATGGGAAGGGATCGCCAATCCAGCCCACAGTGGATGGAACTAGCCTGAATAGGAGGGTGTGAGAAAATATGCTTGTGTACGTATCGCGAATCGCTTGCTCAGTATACCGAGTTTAGGAGAGTGCAACGCTTGCGATGCTTCGCACTGCTCCGCTTTTCATTCCTCACAAACGCGTGCGTTGCGAACAGCGTACAGGAACAGGACACCCCTAGGTTTCTCGCCTAGAGTTTCGGACACGTAATGAGGTCGACCTCACGAGCAGTTCCAAAGTGCGTCATCAGCACCGTCCTTCTCATTGTTTGTCTAGCTTGCGATGTTACGGCTGCGCCGCGTGCCAAGATCGCGCCGGGAAGAAGAGAGCTGAACGGCGCGAACAGGGCCATTCAAAAAGCTCGTAAATTTAACGTTTTTCTGATTCATATGAACAAAACAAGCAAGCATCCGTGCTTATTTCGCGACTTCCCTCCATCCGTCGTTCTTTTCCCTTCCCATCCCTTTCCTCCTCTCGTTCTGCGTCAATAATCCCCCTCGCCATTTGTCCCCTCTCCCTTCCCCTCGCCCCCGTTCCAACATCTCTCCCACCTCTTTTGCATCCCTTTTCTCACCGCTCGTCTCCCTCCTCCCAGATTTGGATACGTTCATTGGCAGATACGCGGACCGGCAGCCACTCACCTTTCTGATGCCTCGCGACGAAGCGTTCTCCGCGCTTCCAGCCAAAATCCGCTCTCAGTTATCGGGCAAGAAGCTGGTGCAGCTCTTGCAGTACCATATGATCATGGAAAAGTGGGGGATCGTCTATCTTTCTAACCCAACTTATTTAAAGTTCTTACGGTCGTTCCGTACAGTACTTGGAATGTACATCCATGTTCTTCCAAATTTTGTGAACCGGGTGGTGAAGGTGAGTCCCGTCGGGTATGTCACTGCGGGTACAGGACACATCATTTCAGGTGACATTGGTGGACAAGACACCTTCCTTCGGTTTGCTTGCCATGGGATTGACAAAGTTATAATCCCTCCTGCTGGGGTTTTCAATTGATGGTGTGTATGGTGTAGAGATAGCCACTACCAGTTCCTGTTCATCCTGTTTACTGTAACATACTAGCTTGTCAGGCAGGGCAGTCTATTCTGTTAGGAGTCTGCATTGATAGTGTCACTCACATTATTTCACTATCTCCAACAATCCCTAGGCTATAGCTTATGCTGGTCAGGTCATGTCCACGCTGATCACCCCCTAACCCCTTCTGTTAGCGCCAGTCTTCTTTCTACAAAAAAGTGGCCTTGTTGAGAATGTGTGCTTCAGTACGGCAGCATCACATTGCTCACTGAATGGACGTTAGCGGCACTTTTTGCGGACAATGAAAGTGTCAAAATGGTTGTAGAACTTGTAGACCCCTTCAACAAGAGCTGAACCTTTCCAGGAATTGTTGAGTTGCGCTTCACTAGGGCAACACCAGCAAGTGTACGGTATTCATTACCCAAAGGATCTTGCTGAAGCTTAGCAGCGGTGGCCTTAGGAATAAGGATGTGCAGCTGCAGTGTCTTCGTCAAGAAGGCGGGATCCTTTCTTATCCTTGTCTGGCGGAAAATTCGCCTCAAAATACGGGAAAGAAACGCGAGATAAATGATTTGCGATTTTCAAGCAACTCACCGCGTTGAAGTCGCCCAGTTGAGCAAAACCCTGATCCACAGGCGCGAGGATTGTGATGCCAGTCTCGGTCGTCGAAAGCAGCTTGGACAAGGAGCTTATTCCTGTACACGACAGTGCGACTTGAAATGAAATAATGCTAGCACATAAACAGACAGAAGAAGTGCAGTCGCCCGCGAGAGGAGCGGACCTGCAAGTCGCAAATAAGCCAGAAAGTTCCAATGCCTGTCAGTCTTCTGAAGCTTGGTCCAAACGTAGCTAAACTCCTGACTTCCATCCCTAAGCTTCTGATCTTGAAGTGACAACTGAATGGTCGCGAGTAGGAGGAAAACTAGCAACAGGCTTCTTGTCATCTCTTTCTACGTCTGCAGAAGTCTCAGCCTGCTTCTCGGAATGAATCTTAGCGAAGCGGTAGAATAGAGGCTGTATTGGGGATAGCAACTTCACGAGGATCGGATACATCAGAAAATGTCTCTCTGGCAGGGAATGGAGAGAAAAATCCACTGAAAGGACACAAGCTGCCTTTTCGCTTGCGTTTCCAAGCGGGAGGTACTTATTTAGGGGATGATTTACAAGGGCCTATCTTCTGAACCACATGGTTCAGGTCGTGTCACAACAGTCCTATCACTGGAAATTGAGTTGAGTGAGTTTTGCAACCTGTTCGCAAAAACCTACGCAATTGTACCTTCGGGAACAGGGCCTAAATCTCTACTTTCACAACACATCCATCCCCCCCTTCCCCCCTTCTCTCCAGTTGCTGTCAGAGCCATTCAGGCATTTCGAGTGTTTCAAGCCCTACACAACCATTTGCCGTTAGCGGCACCTGTGATCTTCACCATCAAGCACTGACGCACACGTTTCTTTGCTACGTTGAATTCTCATCTAATCTCCTCTTTTAGGGCGTCTACTGAGAAGAATAGGAGATATTGACTATTCTACCCCTTTATTTGCTTCGACCCCTTTAGGGTGTTCATGCAGTCCACATTGCAATAGTTCAGAGCTCCGTCGCCGTCCCCTTACACTTCCAGGATTCAGCCAGCTCATATGTTTCTCCGTCAGTGCTTGCGTTTCAGTCTCATCCGTCACTTCTGGCTAGTGATACTTATTGCATCCGTATCTATCACACTCACCTCCGTCCCTTTCACTTCCGTTTCCGCCTCGAAGTTCGAGTCCGGTTCTCTCCGATTCGGCCGGAAGCCTTTATACCAGCGTTCTCTGCATCAGCTTTCCGTTAGCACACCTTCAAGAGCATGCGTACACACTGTAGAAGGACGCACCCTTATCGCGGATGACCAGGGCTACCTGTGCAATTGGTCTGACTTAAATTTCAGCACTGGTTGCTGTCCGTATGCTCGCGATGGAGAATCAGACGACGGAAGAAGTTCGGGAACTGGAACCGATCTATCCTTCCGTGGTGAACGCGCCGGGTCAGGAGCAAAAGTTCATCAAACGTTGAGATTTTCTTGCCAGTCTTGTAACGTTACTGACCGGTGTTGCGAAGTCTACGAACAGTGTGTAACCTGCTGTCAAGATCCTGATCGTACTCCGCCTCGATTGGCCACAATTATCACCACTGCAGCTCAACCGTCGGCTGGACGATTCTTGTCAGTTTTTGAATTCTGCCGGCACCGCTGCCGGCACAACTCTAAGAGCGTGGTTCATGAGAACGCTTACATAAGTGACAGACACCACTGCTACGGCCTGCCAGTTGAAGTGCAAGCAGCGGCTGATGCAGCAGCAAGCGCAGCAGCTGCTGCAGCTGCAGCCAAGAAGAAATTCAGAGATGGAGACAGTGGTAGTACCAGTGGTGAAAGGTCGAAGGGTGATATAACGGGGAGCGTTCTTTCAGCCTTGGATGGCGACAGTGTACTAGCAGCTAGTGAAGAGCCAAGGAGAAGCAGTGGTGATGCCGCTGCTGCTGGTGCTTCTGGTGATGCTGGTGCTGCTGTTGGTGCTGTTAATGGTGGTGGTGATGGTGCTGTTGGTGAGGGGAGTTTCCGTCAAGGACTGGAGGACGTGGAGTTGAAGATGGAAATAGGGAATCCTGGCCAGTCCTGTGATGACACGTGCGCAGAGCGAGGCTTGAAGGTAAATCGGTTGTCTCAGTGTGTGTTGCTTCCCATTTTCTCGCATGTAGTTTGTCATCCTTGCTGCATAGTACTGCCTCGGACATTGTAATGACAATGTGTTACTTCCTAGGGGCGACAGGATGTGTGTCTTCCCTGTCACCCTTGCCTCCACCCATTTTTCAATGCCACCCTTGCCGTAGCCCTTACCTCCCTGCCAACTTGCCCCCACCGTGTCTGTTTGTTTCTAAGCAGCCTTTCTCATGTCTCTCTCCGATGCATTGTCTGATCAATCTCCCCCCTAAATCACGGTTCCTAATAAACTCGCCTGTGCATTGTTCACTGGTTTCTCTGCCCTGCTTCTGTCCCCAACAAAAGTCTCCTACGCATTGTCGGACAGTTTTTCCCCCCCTGCAGTGTTTCCCACCGACACCTTCCTGTCATCTCCCTTCTCACATACGTCCGTATTCTTGATGTTCCGTGCACATGAAATCTCCCATGCAGTGTCAGGCCGACCTTCTCCCCCGCATCAACAACTGTCCTCTGCTCCGTCATTTCTTCCCCTGCACGCCTGGCTGCTTCGCCTCTCTGGGAACAGAGCAGCCAGCAGAGGTGGTAGAAGCACCTCTGGATATAGCCTCTGATACCCCACAGCACATACACCTGTTGGAGAATCCTTCTAGGCAAAATCCGCAGCAGAGGAAGTTGCTGCAAGACCTCAGGGGTTATTCCAGGCAGGGTCAGGTGGATCTGCATGAGCAACAGCAGCAACAACAGCAGCAACAACAGCAGAGGTCGCAGGCTCAGTTCATGCCTCGTACTTGTCTAGTGAGCCTGGACCCGAATATGCCGTCCTGTGAGGGAAGCCACCCAGACATGAGCAGGCTGTGCCCCTGTAGCTTGGTGCATTCTTGATGCAGTAGGTGTTTATCTTCATGTTATAACATGCTTAATTCCTGAATGCAAGGGAATACATGCACTCAATTGCATGGGTAAGCCCGCAGGTCCTGGTTGGTTCCAATACAGCATCACAGTAGCCCCAGTTTCCGCTATTTCTCTCCGCTTGATAACTGTATGCAACACAAGTTGCCAGTCTTGCCGCTAGGCCTTGTGGTGCTTGCATACCGTACCACAGCTGCCTCAATACGTTTCAGAAAGGATTCCAGTGCTCGGGCAGCTCCCCCTGGGAATCCAGCGCGCTTTATGGTTGAGCACAAGGAATGCAAGCAGCACTTACCAGTCTTCAACTGAAATGCTTCTAGAGCTTGTGCTTGACTCGAGATCTGTGAATAGAACGATGGGTGCAGCAATATTGCGATTTTCCTGGATGCCTTGGTACCCGGAACGAAGTGTGAGAGAGCCGTTTGTAGCGAGGGAGCCATTTGTTGCTTGCGGCCGATTCTCATGGCACGAAGGCTCCCCCACCAGAAATTCCACGCCGACGGAGCTTGTTCAAGTCGACTTACCGGTATTTCGAATTATCAACGGTGGTTTTTTTAAATCTGCACATTAGTAGCTCGCGCTAATCGCTGCAGAAGCGATGAAAGTCAGGTGCCATCAGCGAGTTGAATTCGTCCAAGCTTGCATCCTCGCGTCACTAATCACTTCCCCGTCTTCGCTTCCCGCCATTCACGTCCATTCGTTCGTGTCCTAAGTGACTGAATGTGGCACGTTACGTGAGGCGGTCACGACTCACGAGTCCACATCGCGTTTGCCCGTGGAATTCCTGAACGCTGACAGCCACGAGTGAAATCATTTTCCGTCTGAAACACACCAGAGCAAGGATCGGCCTTACTGTGGTTTCTGCTACTGTACATAGTTGACATGACCACAAGGTGTCATAGTTGACATGACTTCTGTGGAACAAACGACAGGAAATGGCGACCGTCAGTGGCGCGGGTCAGCCCGAACGCACAGCAGAGCAGTTGTTAGGCTGTGAGAGAACCATTCGTTGTGCTCCTGTGATTTCTGTTGGAAATTACATTTGACGCCTTGGGGTTGCCGTTTCCTTTATTGAGTGCTTCGTGACAGAACAGGCAGACGGTGGAGGTGATAAGTCTGGGGATCAACCAGATGGTGGGGTCAAATACTCGCAAACAAATGCTACAGAGGAGAGTTTTTGTGAAGATTTGTGCATAACTTCTCCTAGCAATTGCACAGGGCTCATGTAAACATTTTCATTCCGCCGTCTTCCTTGAGCGCTTGCTGTGCAATTGGCCTCCATTGCTCCGCAAGGGACTCATTCAACCCCATGCCCATGGCCAACCCTCTAAGCAACTGCATGGTGCGTACCACAAAGAACAGATCCTCTGGAAATTTCTGCCAGAGAAAAAACCAAGTCGGACAATAAAAAGGTCAGACAGCATTCTTTGGTGGAATTAACTCTCGTGACAGAATTGTTGTGGACAGGTAAAAAAGGTTGCACAATTAACACTGATCAAACAAGCTATGTAACATACCTCAATCCCGTTCCTCTTCAGGGTAGATTCGCTCGCAAACGGGTTTGACGTCGTAACACCCTCCGACACAGCAGTGTCAAACATGAGTGAAGACATGCGGTGGAAGCTCTTGGGATCCTCGAACACAGTCCTGGTAGTCCGAATTCCCAAGGCCTGAAACAATGAGCCGACTCTTGGCATGTCTTTATCAGCCACTGCTAGCATCAATCGCGCCAGGTTTAGACGAAGAGAGTCCGGGAGGCGCTTAGTCTGGCCGTAGTCTAACAAAGCAACCTGTATGTATGAAAGGGAAATGGAACCACAGTGGTTGAAACAGCAAGAATGAGTCTTTGTCAGCCACTGCTAGCATTGATCGTGCCAGTTTTAGACGCGGAGAGTCCGGGAGACGCTTCGTTTGGCCGTAGTCCAACAAAGCAACCTGTATATACGTTTGGGAAATGGAAATGATGAGGGATGTGGAATGAAGTAGCAAGCACTAGGTTTGATGAAAGTGATTCGCATGTGGAAATATTTTGTATGACTGACCTTTCTATTTGGGCAGATGAGAAGGTTTCCTGGATGGGGGTCAGCCTGAAAATGCCCGTCCCGCAAGATCATCAGCCCGTAAGCTGCCCCGAGTGACCGAAAGATTGACCTGTTTAAGAATTGCGACAGATAGCAACAAAGAACAAAGGCAGGAACAGAGGCGTTGAACGCCACAGGGGTGTGCCAGTTCAGCCAGAACCCCTCTTGAATCACCAGATATCCGGTGCATCACGAGCTGGTTTTTGAGAATTCTCAAAAACCAGCTCGGTGCATCACCCTCAACTCAACACTTACCAGCGCCTCGCGTAGTAAGTCGATTTTTTAGTCGACTCAATAATCATCACCCTCAACTCAACACTTACCAGCGCCAGTGTGCGGGTGAGTGGGCGGGCTCAGCGCATTGCGCTCAACTCTAACCGGCCCTGGACTAGCGCATCGCCGAAGCAGTAAAGGGGTGAACAACTAGTTTCTCGCACCCCCTTGGCTCTGGTGGCAAGGAAGCTGTTGGGGTCGACGCCCTTGGCTCTCATGTGCTCCTCCATGCCATCACAAGCGGAGAGCCCTTGATCCGATCCATCACTAGCACATGGCACATGGCACATGACGCATGGCACATGGCACATGGCCATATGGCGCATGGCACATGGCACATGGCCATATGGCACATGGCACATGGCACATGGCCATATGGCACATGGCACATGGCACATGGCACATGGCACATGGCCACATGGCACATGGCCATATGGCACTCACCTCTTGGCCTGGGTAGCAAGGTAGCTGCTGGGGTTGACGCCCTTGGCTCGCATCTCTTCCTCCATCTTCACAATCGGAGAGCCCTTGATCCGATCCATGATGAGCAGGCGCTGGGTCACCAGCCCGGGGACAGGCCCAGGCACAGTGTCAGCCGCTACTCACCTCTTGGCCCGGGTAGCAAGGTAGCTGCTGGGGTTGTCGCCCTTGCCGAGCGTGTTTTTTTAGAATTCTCAAAAAACACGCTCTGGGGTTGTTGCCCTTGCCGAGCGTGTTTTTTTAGAATTCTCAAAAAACACGCTCTGGGGTTGTCGCCCTTGCCGAGCGTGTTTTTTTAGAATTCTAAAAAAACACGCTCTGGGGTTGTCGCCCTTGCTGAGCGTGTTTTTTTAGAATTCTCAAAAAACACGCTCTGGGGTTGTCGCCCTTGCCTCGCATCTCTTCCTCCATCTTCACAAGCGCAGAGCCCTTGATCCGATCCATCACTAGCAGCCGCTGGGTCACCAGCCCTGGGACAGACGCAAGCTGACTCCGTTTGGCTCCTTTGGCTCTCATCTCTTCCTCCATGCTGGCAAGCGGAGAGCCCTTGATCCGATCCGATCCATCACTAGCAGCCGCTGGGTAACCAGCCCTGGGACAGACGCAAGCACAGCAGCAGCAGCAACTCACCTTTTAGCCCTGGGAGCAAGGAAGCCATCTTGACGATCGGAGAGCCGTTGATCAAATCCATGACCAGCAATAGCTGAGTTACCAGCCCTGGGACAGACGCAGGCACAGCAGCAGCAAAACTAGCAGCCGTATCGACCCATCACACTCACCTCTTGGCTCTGGTAGCAAGGAAGCCGTTGGGGTTGACTCCCTTGGCTCGCATCTCTTCTCCCATCTTCACGATTGGAGAGCCCTTGATTAAGTCCATCACTAGCAGGCGCTTGGTCACGAGGCCGGGGACAGACGCAGGCACCACCACCGGAGAGGCTGCACCAGAAACAGCAGGGGGAGAACTGGTAGCGGCAGCAGCAGCAGCTGCAGCAGAACCAATGGCACCCACAGTAGCAGCCACAGCGGTAGAAGCAGGGGCAGTGGCGGCAAGGGCGGTAAGAGCAGCGAAAGCAGTAGCAGTGGCAGCCGGCCTTGAAAAAGGATTCCAGCGACTCCTCCCTTTTTGCCTCCTGTTTGCTGCTGCTGCTGCTCCCGTGCTTGATGCTGCCGAACCTGCCAGCGAGGCTCGGATGGTATCCATGGCTGCAGCCTCCCTGCGGAAGTCGAACTCGTACCGGATCTGCAGGTATGAATGGTCAGAGGGAAAGGGAGAGGAGGCAGAGCTGCTGTGACGGTCATATTGAGCTCCGTACTCTGCACGAATGCTCCCACCTACCCACCAACCCACCCACTCACCCACTCACCCGCACACTGGCTCACACATGGGAGCATGCTACCAAGTACCAACCACACCCACCTGCTTCTCCAGCTCGTTGAGAGCTCCCATCACATCCATATTCAGCTCCGTGCTCTGCAGGAAAGAACCCCTCTAACCACACCGTATCCACCCACCCATACATACAACTTGCTGCCTACATGCGAGCACATGGCAAACCACACCCACCTGCTTCTCCAGCTCGTTCAGAGCGCCCATCACATCCATATTCAGCTCCGTGCTCTGCAGAAATCGCTCCCCTCTTCCCCTCCCCCACCACCCACACGCCTAGGAACCATGCTACCAACCTGCCGCACCGTTTGAAACCCCTCAAGACCCAACCACACCCACCTGCTTCTCCAGCTCGTTCAGAGCGCCCATCACATCCATATTCAGCTCCGTGCTCTGCAGGAAGGCAGCAAAGGCCTTGAGGTTGGCGAGGTCTGTGAGCATGAGGGGCTTGGCACCCGCGTGTTGCACCTGGTGTGGGGAGGGGGGGAGGGGGGAGAAGGAGGGAAGATGAAGGCAGACACCCGCGTTGAGCTCTCAGCTCGGTCAGGGCTCCCGTGATGTCCAGGTTCAGCTCCGTGCTCTGCAGAAAGGCAGCAAACGCCTTGAGGTTGGCGAGTTCTGTGAGCATGAGAGGCTCTGCGCCTGCGTGCTGCACCTGAAAGTGAAAGTGAGTACGTGTAACGAGGAGGGTGGGGGAAAGGGCAGGAGAGGCTTTCGTTGGCGAGGTCTGTGAGCATGAGAGGCTCTGCGCCTGCGTGCTGCACCTGGTGTGTGGAGGGGAGGGGAAGAGGAGGTGAAGGCAGTCGTGAATGCTGACCTCTGAGCTTTGATCTCCATGCTCTGCAGAAAGGCAGGAAACGCCTTGAGGTTGGCGAGGTCTGTGAGCATGAGGGGCTCGGCTCCTGTGTGTTGCTCCTGAAAGCGTGTAACAAGAAAGGGGTGGGTGGGTGCATGCGGAGTGCAAAATCCAGGAAATGTTCATCAAGGCACGGTCTGTGCTCCGTGCTACGTGATAAAGAGAGATGTTTTGAGACGTCTCAAAGCGTGTAACAAGAAAGGGGTGGGTGGGTGCATCCGCAGTGCAAAATCCAGGTAGCGTTCATCAAGGCACGGTCTGTGCTCCGTGCTCATCAGGAAGGATCTAAGGCAGAAAAAGCGCGGCCCCCGACCCACCCACTCAAACAAAAAAAAAAAACAAAAAAAAAAGAAGAAGAAGAAAAAAGAAACGTATTCAGAAAATAATGATGATCCTCTTACCTTGATAGCAACCTCCTTGCCTCCTCTCAGCCTTCCTCTGTGCACTTTAGCAATCGAAGCCGACCCAAGTGGTTTCTCCACCTGCCCTTGAGACCTCCTTGCCACTTTGACCAGACTGCAGTTTCACCTAGTAATACACCCCCTCACATGCAGATCCTTACCTTGATAGCCACCTCCTTGCCTCCCTTCAGCCTCCCTCTGTACACTTGGGCAATCGATGCAGACCCAAGAGGGTTTCTCCTCCACCCACTCCCACACCTCCCTGCACACCCCACCTGCCCTCGAGCCCTCCTTGCCCCATTTTGACACGTCTGCCCTGCACCTAGTGATACAGTGATACTCCTCCTCACATGCAGATCCTTACCTTGATAGCAACCTCTTTCCCTCCTCTCAGCCTCCCTCTGTGCACTTGGGCAATCGATGCAGACCCAAGTGGTTTCTCCTCCACCCACTCCCACACCTCCCTCCATCCCATCCCCCCCAGCTCCTCTTGAATCGTCTGGAGCACGAGGGGGAGCGGGTCGGCAGGAGCAGCGTCGTGGAGGGCAGAGAGGCGACGCACCCACGCTGGTGGGGAGAGGTCTGGCTTGGCTAGAAACTGACCCGCCTGTGATGGTGGGAGGAAGGAGTGGGAGATGCGGGGATAGAAGGAAGGGGTGAGACGGAGGAGAGTCGTGGAGGGCAGAGAGGCGACGCACCCACGCTGGTGGGGAGAGGTCCGGCTTGGCTAAGAACTGACCCGCCTGTGATTGTGGGAGGAAGGAGTGGGAGATGCGGGGATAGAAGGAAGGGGTGAGACGGAGGAGAGTCGTGGAGGGCAGAGAGGCGACGCACCCACGCTGGTGGGGAGAGGTCTGGCTTGGCTAAGAACTGACCCGCCTGTGATTGTGGGAGGAAGGAGTGGGAGATGCGGGGATAGAAGGAAGGGGTGAGACGGAGGAGAGTCGTGGAGGGCAGAGAGGCGACGCACCCACGCTGGTGGGGAGAGGTCTGGCTTGGCTAAGAACTGACCCGCCTGTGATTGTGGGAGGAAGGAGTGGGAGATGCGGGGATAGAAGGAAGGGGTGAGACGGAGGAGAGTCGTGGAGGGCAGAGAGGCGACGCACCCACGCTGGTGGGGAGAGGTCCGGCTTGGCTAAGAACTGACCCGCCTGTATTGGGAAAGGGAAAGGGTAGTGGTGCGAGGGAGAACACAAAGTGGTTTCTCCACCTCCCACTCCCACACCTCTCCCCACCCCACCCCCCAAAACCCCTCTTAGATGGTCCGCAGCATGAAGGGGAGCGGGTCGGCGGGAGCAGCGTCGTGACCCGCCTGGGATGGGGCAAGGGAGGGGGATGGGGAGTGGAAGCGGAAAGTGGAAAGAGGAAAGAGAAGGGGAAGGGAAATTGGAGTTAGGGAGGGAGCGCAGGAGTAGGGTCACGGTGAGTAGGGTCATCCCCCAAAACCCCTCTTAGATGGTCAGCAGCATGAAGGGGAGCGGGTCCGCGGGAGCAGCGTCGTGGAGGGCTGAGAGGCGACGCCCCCACGCTGGTGGGAAGAGGTCTGGCTTGGCTAGAAACTGACCCGCCTGGGATGGTGGGGAGGGGGGGAGGGGAAGGAAGTGGTGAGCAGGAGCAGGGTGATGGGGAGAGAGAGGTTCAGCTGGAGCAGGGCTGTGGAGGGCTGGGAGGCGTGCCACCCACGCTCGTGGGGAGATGTCTGGCTTGGCTTAGAACTGACCCGCCTGTGTTTAGTGGGGTGTGGGGGGTGAAATGTGAGGGGATTGAAGGAATGGGTAAGAAGGAGCAGCGTTGTGGAGGGCTAAGAGGCACCGCACCCACGCTGGTGGGGAGAGGTCTGGCTCGGCTAGAAACTGACCCGCCTGTATTGTGGGTGAGGAAAGAAAGAGTATGATTGGGGAGAGACAGAAGAGGCGATGCGCCCACGCTGGTGGGGAGAGTCGATTTTTGAGTCGACTAAAAAATCCACTTATCACACACGGCTTATATGTGGAAAGAAAGAGCATGATTGGGGAGAGACAGAAGAGGCGATGCGCCCACGCTGGTGGGGAGAGTCGATTTTTGAGTCGACTAAAAAATCCACTTATCACACACGGCTTATATGTGGAAAGAAAGAGCATGATTGGGGAGAGACAGAAGAGGCGATGCGCCCACGCTGGTGGGGAGAGTCGATTTTTGAGTCGACTCAAAAATCCACTCATCACACACGACTTATATGTGGAAAGAAAGAGCATGATTGGGGAGAGACAGAAGAGGCGATGCGCCCACGCTGGTGGGGAGAGGCCCGGCTTGGCCAGTAACTGACCCGCCTGTGTTGTGTTTTGAGGGAGAGGGGAAAGTGATTTGGGGTGAAAGGCGAGCGAGGGATCAGTAGGAGGGGAGCATATATAAGCTTGAGGAGATGATTTAAGTCAACTTGTGATTACTAAATTGTGTGAGAACGATGACGCAACAGGATGGCAAAGAATCAAACAAGAAATGCTCTCATTGAGAGTTAATTTCAAGACCTCCCGCTTACTAAACGGGTGCTCTAGCCAACTGAGCTATGAGAGCTGATCTCGGGAGCACTCAAACCAATAAGAACCAAGAAATACACATTTTTCACTATAATCACATCTCTATCGTTTTTCTCCCGACACTACACTTTCAAAGCAATATCTAGGTTCACTCATTCTGCTGGCTCAAGAACGCGCTATCATGGATGCATAAGGCCTTCATCTCTGCCACCCCTCGGAGTCCACTCCACTTCATTGGTCATTCCTTTGCTTATGCGCACACCTTCAATATAGTCACACCTTGAGAAAATATCCTTTCATGTCGGTGGAGAGGGCATAGAGGACCTCCGATCCCCTCAGTTCAGTCATATGGTCACCTTGTTGGTCACTTCTATGGCTACAGTCATACACTCGCTATAGTCACACCTTCTCTATCGTCACACCTTGAGGAAGAATCCTTACACGTCTGTGCAGAGAGCATAGAGGATCTCTGCACTCCGCTCAGCTTACTCATATGGCCACCTTATTGGTCACTTCCATTTCTACAGTCATACCTTTGCTATTATCACACCTTTGCTATAATCACACCTTCACTATAGTCACACCTTGAGGAAGAATCCTTTCATGTCGGTGCAGAGAGCATAGAGCATCTCGGCTCCCCTCTCATGCTGCCTCTGCCACGTGGCAGATTTCTCCTCCTCTGATTGGCCACTCACTGCCACCTGGAGCTGACAAAGCTGGGGAGGATAGGATGATAGGGGGAATAGTAAGAGCGAATATGGGGAGAGGGGACGGGGGAGGGGAGGACAGGGGGTCCGGGAGATGAATAGGAAAGAAAGGAAGGAGGGGAGGGGAAGGGGAGTAGAAAGAACTAGGAAATGAGGATGAACGGATGCATGCAACCCAAGAGAAATGAAACCTGTCGTTCAAATTCTTCAGAAGATGAAACGCACCTTGTAACTGCCGTACAGGTGCACTACACGTCGCCAGAACTCCGCCCCTCGTTGAAACGACAGCATGTTCGCCTCCACATCCCGATGTAACACGGTTACCCCCTGTTTCAGCGCGCTGCTCTGTGCCTCTACATCCCGCTGTAACGCCACCATCCCTCGTTTCAGTGCCTCGTTTCGCGCCTCCATATCCCGCTGCAACGAGATTACCCCTTGTTTCAGTCCCTCATTCCCCGCGTCCACGTCTTGTTGCAGCGACGCCAGCCCTCTTTTTAACACAGTGCCCTGTGCGTCCACATTTTGCTGGCGTCGCTGCAACAAGACGTGGAAGCGACGCCAGCCCTGTGCTTCCCCATTTTGCTGCAGCGACACAAGCCCTCTTTTCAGGGCATCACTTTGATCTTCCACATCCCATAGCAGCGACACCACCCCTCGTTTCACTGCCTCGTTCCGTGTTTCAAAGTCCCGCTGTAACGCCACCGCCCCTCGTTTCAATGACTCCCTTTGTGACTCCACCCCTCTCTGCAGCAACATTAACCCTCGTTTCAGTGTCTCGCTTCGCTCCCCCACAGCCGAATTCACCCTTTCTGCTTCCGTACATATCCTCGTTTGTAACTGCCTCACTTCCTCACCATAATCATCCTTTTTCCATCCCGCGTTTCTTCCCGATTCCTTCTGCACCCGTTCTTCTTTCCAGCAGGAGGCAATAGGATCGGCCCATGTCTCCAGCCACGTCCGTGGGGTTTCAGGAATCCATCCGACGGTCGTAAACGTTTTGGCGTTATAATAGTCGGCTCGACCATCCAAAGCCGTCGTAGACGCTTCTGCCTGTATCGAATTCGACCTTGGTTGTACCGAATCGATTTCCGTAGGGTCCGGATTTCCTCGCTGAGGGGTCTTTGGCGAAGGCTGCGATGCCAGAAGCGACGCCGGCGATTTTGGCGACGCTGGCGGCGCTGGTGACGCGGGTGAAGCTGGCGAAGGCGGTGGTAACAGCGGCAGTTGCGAAGGGGGCAGGAGGAAAGGCGAAATGGGCGGATTGGAGGGAGAAGGCGGGGAATGCATCAGCGACGCAGATGCCATCAGCACGCGGCGCGACAGCAGCGACAACGGATTCGGTTTCCGAAGAGCCTCGGCAATCGCGGAGCCCCTCTGCACGCGACACGATAATAGACACAGCGGATTCGGCGGCCGTGTGCTAAAACGCGACTGCCGCTCGCCGTCAGTCCCGCTAGAGGATTCCATGCGGATAGACCCAGTAAATTTAGACTTGTGTTGAAGCGCTCTATACGATAGCCGCTGGATTCGAGTAGCGATCAAGCGGCGAGCCAAAGAGGTGAGTTGCCTGACGACAAACGCACGCTTTTCACAGTGCGAGAGCCGAAGTGCTGAAGCGCGAATTACAGTATACTGTTTTTAAGGGGCCTTATCAAGCAGGCACTCGCCAACTCCCACACTCCCACACTCCACACTCACGCACTCGAGAGTCGGGGGGCCGCGAGCGCTCTCTTACGACAGCAAACAGCACTCTGGAATAGGAATCGACAGTCGGAAATGGCCTAGGAAATCGCTCTCGACTTTTGAGGCGCCTCAAACCTCTTACGACTGCGACAGCACTCTACAATGGACTCGAAAGTCACTTACGATTACACACTCAAGGTCAAATCCGATTCTGATCCACCACAGCCTTCTAAGGACAGAAAAGGCTGTTTATCTCCCAAGGCTGACTCAGTCTTGGGCTCGAATCTGCTCTCGGAGAGGAGCATGTAGGATGATGACAGCGAGTCAACGCGATGCAGCACTCTAGAATGGACTCGAAAATCCCTCTCGATTACACCACAGCCTCTAGTAGGGCAGAAACAGGCTGACTCAGCCTTGGGCTCGAATCTGCTCTCGGAGAGGAGCATGCCGGATGATGATCATGATGGGGGCGAGTCAACGCGATGCAGGGAATCACACACGTGAGGTGCGCTGCGCACGCGATGTTTCATCATCGTCCGAGGGAACGACGCCGAGTCGGAGCATCGCCGAGGGGGTCATCGCACAAGGGAGTTGCGCAAGGGGTGTTTCTTCGTCGTCCAAGGGAACGTCGTCGAGTCAGCGTATTTTCGCGGAGAGAGCCATCGCACGAGCCGCGCACGGGATCCTGCTGAGGAACAGACACTGTTTTTTTTTTCGAGAATCTACGCAAAATAATACCCTGCACATGGGGCGTGCGCCGCCCATCCGTGAGACTGGCAATAGCATCAGTACATAGCGTCGTTTTCGAGTCTCGACGATAACGAACGCAAGACAGTGGCTGCGGCAGTTCGGATGGCGACATTTCCGAGGATAGCTGGCTAACGGACGGAATGAACGAGGTTGCGTGCTGCTTGCTGCCACTAACTGACGGGATTGGCAACGCCGCGATGTTGAAATCCCTTTTGGGAACTCTCAAAAGTGAGGCTAACGGACGGAGTGAACGAGGTCGCGTGCTGCTTGCTGCCACTAACTGACGGGATTGACGAGGCCGCGTACGGCTGCTGTTCCATCTGTCAATACCTGTCACTAAAAGTGCGATGCTCACAAGTACTACTCTGAACTCTCACAGGGCGCGCTGTACTTCCCGAGTCGATCGAAGTACGCGTGAAGTGCATGTGATTTGCTGCGGAAGAGGCTCGCTCTTCTGGATGAGACGAGAAAAGAAGCCATGGTCAGGCCCAGGCACCCCGGAATTGACGAGGCTGCGAATTGATTCCCCACTGGCCCGTCACATCCTAGATGCTAGTCTCGACGCTCTGGGAAAGCACATACTGACGCAAGCCACAGTCACATGCTATTAGTGATTGGGGCTGGGAATTTGTGCTTTGACAAGAATTGCAGCGGCACTGCTGCTGTTGCTCGTGCGGCTGCTGGGGTTGGAAATGCAGTGACGTTGGAAGGGACGAGGATGCGAAGGGAAAGCTGTTTCGCCCTACGTGTCTCGGGAGGAGGAATCAAACGTGTTGCAGGTTTGACAGTGACTTTTGGGAGTGACGAGTGGGGGACCGTTCAAAGTGTCGTCCCAAGCGTGTGAGAGAGTCTTGGGGGAAAAAGGATGTTTGAAAATGTCCCCAAACGTGTTCGAAATGGGGCGCAATTTTGCAAATGCGAGGCGATTGGATGAAATTCGGAATTCATTATTTTCCTTGCAACGTGACGAATCGGCTTCATGATGGCGACGCGGACAGAGAGGTTTGGTGGTGGTGGCGAGAACACGGGGTTGACGACGCGATCAACGACGTCTACTATTTCGATTGGGTGGTTGCGAAGAACGACGACGAAGGACGACAAGTAGATGTAACAGTGTGACTAAACCATACCCACAAAATCTATGCATTGTTCTGGCAAGGGGGCTTGAAATGGAGCGTGCATTTCAGCACAACTGTTAAGAGTGCAATTGAGTGAACAAACTAGAATTGCACTATCCAAGCAGGAGTACAATGAGCGAAGGCATGAGAGAAGAATATATAGCGAAACTACAGTGGTAACGGTAATGGACTGTGGTTGTCGTGCGACGGGCCTGGGACTGAGGTTGGGAAAAAGTGTCGAAGCGGAGGCCCGGAGCGCGGGTTACCTGCCGAGCCGTGAGGTCGGGGTGCGATGTGCGAAAGGTGGCGGGCGGATTGTCGATGCGAGGGTTGCGAGTGGTAACGGTGCTGACTGTGGTGCTACAGTGATGTATGCGTTGAGCAGGGATGCGAAACAAGGAAAAGGAATTTTCCTTACAACAACATAAAACTCCACTCATAACAAAGAGCCTACAATAGAAGATGAACTCCAAGCATTGTTCAACACGGCCCTTCTGCTACTACAGGCCATGTTGAAGCATGCTTGGAGCTCCAGGTGTCTACAAACACACATTTCAAAATAATTCGCAATAACACAGCTAGAGGGTGGATACAGTACTCTCCAATTAGGTCCTCTCTCCAATACTGCTGCTGTTTCTGCTTCAGCCTCAGTGTTTGGCCGCCATTGCTCCTCAAACGATCCATTCACCCCTATGCCCATGCAGCATATCCCCTTCACCAGCTGCAGCTGCATTATACGCACCACAGAGAGCAGATACGCAACTATTACCTCCCTCACTGCCGCTGCCTCTGCCTCTGCGCCTCCCGAATCGCCTGCCGTGCAATCGGCCGCCATTGCTCCGCAAGAGACTCATTCAACACCATGCCCATGCAAATCCCCCTCAGCAGCTGCATCGACCGCTACTAATCACCTTCCTTTACTGCTGCTGCCTCTGCCTCTGCCTCTACCTCTGTCTCTGCCTCTGCGCCTCGCGAATCGCCTGCCGTGCAATCGGCCGCCACTGCTCCGCAAGCGACTCGTTCAGCCCCATGCCCATGCAGATCCCCCTCAGCAGCTGCATTGACCTCATGACTTGCATCACAGAGAGCAGATACGCTACTAATCAGCTCCCCCACTGCCGCTGCCTCTGCCTCTGCGCCTCCCGAATCGCCTGCCGAGCAATCGGCCGCCACTGCTCCGCAAGCGACTCATTCAGCCCCATGCCCATGCAGATCCCCCTCAGCAGCTGCATCGACCTCACCACAAAAAACAAATCCTCCGGAAACTTTTTCACGCCGTTGTTCTGCGCCGCATGCTCCTCCGAAAATGGGTTCGATGTCGTGGCGCCTTTCGCCGACCGCGTGTCAAACATGAGAGTAGCCATCCACTTAAAACTCTCCGGATTTTCTTCGGCTGTTTTGCTCAGCTTGAAGCCCATCTCGTTGTACAGCCGTCCGATCTTCCTCGCGTCGCCGTCACCGACGGCCAGGATCAGCTCGGCGAGCTGCAGCCGGTGCTGCTGGGAGATTTGTTTCGTCTGCCCATAGTCGAGGAGAGCGACCTTTCGGTCCGGGCAGATGAGAATGTTTCCGGGGTGCGGGTCAGCTTGGAAAAACCCATCGCGAAGAATCATGAGGCCGTATGCTTCTCCAAGGGAACGAAATATTGATCTGAGTAAGTTTTTTGACGTGGGGGGGAAGATGGGGGGTTGAGGGGAGGGTTGTTGAAGTGAGATGGTTAGCTGTGTTTGCGGATCATAAGAGAGCGAATTGGAAACTAATGGGTGACGATTGAAGGCAAAGAAAAGAAAAGAAAAGAAGAGAAAATAAATATTTTTTCTTCTCGAGAGGGTGATCAGGCCTTTTACTGGCCTCCTACTC